ACCAAAAAGGTTAAAAACCTGTGCTTCAATCTAGTTCAGGCCACAGTCTAATGCTGGAAAAAACTATAACATGATGACCTTGCCCACTATAAATCAGTATGTTTCTTAAGCATCTATTTTGGGCAAAACATTGGGGTCATCATTAGAAAGCATACAATGTTTAGATGAGTCCCTGAGCTTCGGGAGTTTATAATTCAAGATAGGAAGTATGGGCAGCACCTTCATCTCTTTGGCTCAATAATTCAGTAATCTATTTCTTGTTGATTCCCTTGTATACCCATCACAACTACCCCAAACCTCCTCTCCTTTTCTCACTGCCCCAATTCCACTCCAGCTCCCTTCACTAGCAGATGACCCCATCCCCTAATTTATTAATACCAAGGCCTCAGGCTTCTTCCCAACATATGTCTCCTCATTTATTTTACTAAGAAGGAAGGAGAATTATTCACTCTCACTTCTAAATCTAGGCCCCTCAATCTGTGTCCTAAAACCATAGCCCTTCATCTTTTCTCAGACTCTGGTCCACCAATTACCAATCCTTCCAAATGAATTTTCTCCACCAGTTCCTTCCCTTTTCTCCAAAAACATGCTCCAGGGTCCTCAGTGCCAAAAGAAATAATGAAACTCACTTCTTAAACTATTTGTCCCCCTCTCCTTCACCTCACCTTCACTTTTCTTCAAAGAGTGGTAAGTATTGTCTGCTTCTTGAAATCTGGCTTCCACCACAATCGCCCAAGTCCCCTGTGCCAAGTGCAGTGGTTTTACTGTTTTCTTTGCCCCTGACTTACCTGAAGCATTAGACTTGGATGACCACCCCCTTCTTAGGCTTGTGGGGTACAACTATCTTAGTTACTACTTATCCTCCCACCTTTCTATCAGAGACTATTGATTAGTTGATTCTCTTGTTCCCTTTTCCTGGCTTCTCTCCTTCCCCTCACCACTTAAAAATCAGTATTGGGGGCCACCTCCAGTCGTCCTGATCTATCTTGTCAATGGACCCAGATGGCTCTGGAGAAGAAAGTGAGGCTGGTAACTCTGCACAGCCCTCCCTCACTTAAATCCAATTCACTTGCAAGTTGTGGTATCATCTCCTGATGTCCTTTGTTCTCAAAGAGGACCATGACAAACAACACATTCTCCACAATCCTGTCCCCAAACTTTATTTTTCTCTTTCAAGGTTCTCTCCCTAGCTATCAGTACTTCTCTCACCCATTTCCACAACCAGTCCCCTAATTAAGGCCTTCATCCCATTGTCTCTGTAACCTATCAAAATTATTTCACTTACCTCCCAATTCCAGTTTCTTCCCAATCCAGTGCAACCTACAGACTTCTGCCAGATCAATCCTCCTAAACCACTCCTTGGGCATTACTCTCCTGCTCAAAAGGCTTCAGGAAATGTCTAATGCCTTCAGAATAAAATGTAAACTATTTGCCCAGTGTTAAACATCTCCCCAATTTGCTTTCAAGCTAATCTCTCATTATAGCTTCCATTCAGGTTAACCTGGTAGCCTTTCACAGGATCAAAGATTCAGAGCTGAAGAGTATTAAAAGTCATCTAGTGCAACCCCCACATTTTATACATAAAGAATCGCAGGCCCAAAGAGTTTTAATGACTTGCTCAAGATCATAAAAGAAGCAAGAGGCAGAAACAGGACTTGAATCCAGGTCCCCTGATTGCAAATGTAGCCCTGTCTCCACTTCAAGCTTTCACTCAACCCAGCTTTCCAGGCCATATTTGAGTTTCTACTGCTCTCTGAGCATCTCAGACACCAGTTCTCCTTCACCTGGAGGAAGGCTGTTTATTCACTCTACTACTACCATGCTGCCCATGCAAATGTCATATGACACTTGCCATACATGGGCTTGAAGTGGCTTCTCAACCCACACTTTTTCAATCTTCCTAACAAAACTAAATTCCTGAATCAATCAATAAGAATGTGTTAAATGCTTACTATTTGCCAAGCACCTGGGATAAAAAAGAAAGGCAAAAAACAAAAAGACCCTGCCCTCAAGGAACCACATTCCAACGGGGGAAATGACATGTAAATAAATAACTGGGTACACATGAGATCTATGCAGAGTAGATGGATGGCAGCCTCAGAAGAGGCTACCAGGTAGGGGAAATCAGTGACAATATTCATTATCACTCATATTTTGCTTGCTCAGCACAGTATAACAGACAGAGCTCCTAGTCTTGGATTCAGGAAGACCTGAGCACTCTTACACCTCATAGCTCTGTGGCTACCATGGGCAAGGCACTACACCTGTCTGCTCCTTAATTTCCTGATCCACTAAATATAAATAATACCTTTCTCATAAGACTGTTCTAAGTTTTGAATTCAATAACACATGCAAATTACATACTATATTTTTAAGTCCTTACAAATATACCTTTACTTAAGCTTTCACACCTGATACTGCTTTCTTCTAAGTACCTCCCACCCCAACAGAAGGCTCATTGCCCTAAGATGCTGCTAAACACAAGCATGAACCCTTTCCTTTAAAATTATGCATCCAATGTAGCAAAAAAAAAACCCCTAAATATAAATGTTCACAAACATTCTGAAGCAATACTATATGAATATGCTGTCATCATGCATCATTCTAATTTAAACTTGCCTTCTATAAATTAATCCATTAAAATGTTAGGCCATTTGATAAGATTATGCAACTCTTATTCTTCCCCACCTTTAAGATTCATTTTCCTTAAAATCACCAGAATGTCTCACAATCCACAGTCAAAAAATTTCAAATTAAGACTACACCCATTAATTGGACTGTTCACACAGTAAAGTTTCAATGAGTTGTTGGAACATATTTTCTAAGATATTTTTTACTTCTCTTGACTAAGAATTTAAAAAAAAACCTATGGGGTATAGAAATCTATCCCAATCTACAGGAAAATAGAAGACGACAGATGGGGATAAGAGAAGGGGTGGGGGAGAGATAGAATGGAGGGCAGATTAGGGGAAGGGGTATTCAGAATGCATGCTGTCTTGGGGTGGGGGACAGGACAAGATGAAGAGAAAATTTGGAACTCAAAATCTTGCGGAAGTAAATGTTGAAAACTAAAAATAAATCAATTTTTTTAAAAAAGAATTTTTTTAAAAAGTCACTTCCAGGAGTAAAAGGCCTCAAACTGGAACAAAACTTTCAAAATGAAACATGTATTTTAAAGAATATACAATTTATGGTCCAAAGCTTTGCATGAAAACCTAAGAATAATCTCAATTTGATACTAGAATTTAAGCCTTTCTGTTGAAAACAGATTACAAATCTATTTCCTTAAAAGCTTACTACCATCAGTTCTATACAAACAAAAGTTAGCACTGAGATACACTTGCTGAGTAGCTGATAGTAATTTTAATTCCAAATAAAATACTACTGATTTTTCCTTAAAAATTAAACCCAAGAACTACTTGTTTTGCAAATGAATGATGGTTAACATTTAGCCACCTTACAATCCATCATGATTTAACCACAAATCAAGAATCTAAAGCAGTACCTGTCCATAAGATACTGGAAGCTGCCACTATGTGGCATCAACAGAACTTTAAGGGCCAAAGTCACCCACACACTCCAGTGCAAGTTTTTGGTGATTTTTTTCTTTTAATCAAATTTTATCATATATTCTATTTCATCCCCAAATTAATATTCCTAACAACAACTGCCATGTGCAGCATGATCTACCACAGAACCACAGCCTTATATCATGGCAGAGCCAATCTCAGAGCAAGAGCTAGGTTCAAGTGTCACCCTGGATATTGATACTGTCTCTGAAGCCCAGCAAGTCAAAATCTGTGAGGGCCCCAGGTAACATTTTTAGGACTAAAGTGCAGAGCAGATGCCCACCAGTAAGGGGAAAGACTCCCAGGAAACTTCCTAATCTGGTGTTCCCTAAACCAATGAACAGGACAGGGTCTAATAATAATAAAAACAATAACAATCAAAATGACACGACAAACGCTGACATTTACATGGAGCTTTTAAAGTTAAAGCACTTAAACTTACACTTTTACAACCTGCTAAGGGAGGCACAACAGATATTATTCTCATTTTAAAATGAGGAAGCTGAGGCTGAGAGGGTTGAGTGATTTGCTCGTGGGGCACATAAGGGACCTCAAGTCCTCCAGACTCGACGCACGAGCACCAGCCTGCCATGGTAAATACTGAATTTCCAAGCTCTCCGCACTCCAACGCACCGTTCTTTAACCCTTCCTTGTTCCCCACACCTCCACTCCACTAGTCAACACGATGTTCTGCATTAATCGAATGAATAGCAAGGTACGAAGCGTGCCCAGGTACTGAAGTTCTGCCGTTTCCCCCCTTCCCCTCCGCCTCCTCAAAAAAGTTTATTCCGTTCCAAAGACTGTCAGTTTTCAGCCATCTCCGAAGGGGTGTAGGACAAGTTGCCACATCATGACTAACCCGCTGGGGGCTCTGATTCTTGCTCCCAAGACCGGGTGTCCCAAAAGTCCTGGTGCAGCTTTCAGCTTAAAAGAAAGCCTCGGCGCTGTTCCGGGCTGACGAACGAAAGCTCCTCACATGCAGCTTCATTAAAAGCTTACAGACGCACTGAGACTTCTGGGACACACCGCATTCCATCAATAAAGGCCCCGAGGAGTTGCCCACGCTGCGGGGGAGCCCGCTATCAATAAAAGTTTTAAGGTCCAGCCAAGATACGGGAATTCATAGCGGAAACCCTAACGGGCAATTGCGGGGCAGGGTCCTTCCGAAGCCCCCAGGCCTCCCCCTCCGGGCTCGGAGGGCGGCAGGGGCAGGGATGCGGGGATGCCCGGTGGGGGGTCCATGCCGGGTGCTGGAAGTCGGGGTCCCAAGGCTGCCCCCCCCGCCCCGCACACGCACTTTCCCGGCTACAACTTAATGAATGGCGTGAGCGGGCAGCGGCCTCGGCGGGGCCACTCGTACAAGTGGGCCGGGCCGCGCGGCGGGGGGCCCTGCGGGGCTGCGGCCGCGGCGCCCCCTTCCCCCGCACTCACCTGGGGGCGACGGCGGCTGCGGGCTACTCCTGCCCGCCGAGGAGGCGGCGGCGGCGGCCAGGGCCGGGTCCCGGCTCCCGAGCAGCAGCAGGAGGCAGCCGAGCCACAAGGAGGCGGCGCGGACGAGGCTCCGGGCGCCCCGCTCCGGCTCGGGCTCCGGCCCCGCCGCCATCTCTTCGGCCGGCGGCCGGCGGCCAGAGGCGGCGGCGGGGACAGCGCTGGCCAGAGCCCGGCCGCTCCGCCCGCCCTCCCGGCTCCTCGGCTCCGGGGTCCGGCTCCGGCTCCTGCTCCGGCTCCGCTCCGGTTCCTTGGTTCTTCGGGTCAGCTCCGGGCTCTTCGCGGGGGGGTTGGCAGGGGGGCGCCTCCTCGTCCTGGGGGGGGCAGAAGGGGGGCGGTCACGCGCGCTCCGGGAGTCAGAGGGGAGACCGCCCGGGGCAGGCTCCGGGCGCCTCCAGCCCCCGCCGCCGCCGCCGCCGCCGCCACCGCCGACTCTGGGCTCCCCGCGCGCACACACCACACACACTCTCACGCGCGCGCGAGCTCACACACTCACAGGGCGGCCAGCGCCAGGGGGCGGGGGCGCGCGCGCGCACAAACACACCCTCCCCCTCCCCTTACCGCAGCCCCGCGCGAACTAGGCCCGCCCCCAGCTCCGAGCCCGGCCGCCGCCGCCCGGTCCTCCCCTCTTATCCGCCCCCCCCACCCCCGCTCTTCGCCCCTCCCCCCTCGGCCGGTCCCTGCCTGGGCCTCGGCCGAGGCGTCAGGGAAATCCCGGAGAAGCTGATCCCGATCCCGGCTCTCCGGGGAGGCTGGCTGGAGCTCGGGCCCGGCTCCCTATATAGGGCCTCGGAGGAAGTCGGAAAGTCCGGGGGCAAGCGCGGGTCAGCGCGGGGCTTCCCGACCACGCCGAGCCCCCCTCCCGGACCCTTCCGGAGGGACCCAGGGCCGCCCAGCGGGAGGGGGCGCCGCCCGGCCCTACACCCCCCACACCCAGCCTCTTCCTTCCAGGCCCGCCCTGTGCCCCGCGCCCTCCAGCCGCAGGGGCCGGACCCCCGGGGGGAACAAAGGCCTGGGCCGGACTGTGCTAGGCTCCCCTCCCCCTTTTATTTTGTTTTATTGGCACAGACTTCGCTCTCCTTCTAGATGCACTTAGGTGCACGTATACCTGTGTGTCTATAGGTGCTGTGCACATCATGTATATGTGTGAACATGCGTGTGCCCGCGTTTACTCCGGCGTGTGCCCGTGTGTCCATCTCCGCGTCGTAGCGCAGTAGGGAGACTCGGACACCGAGTAGGGACATGCCCCGAGGTCCGCATGGGAAAGGGAGAAGGTCTACACGGCCGCCGGGTGGGCTTCTGGAAGATTTGCAAAGTGCTTTACCGAGATTGCTTCATTTGATTTAGATTAGATAACGCCTGCTGCACCGTCCGGCTAAGCACTGAACCTAAAGGCTGGGGATACAAAAGGAGAGAAAAACCATTAAGTTTTAAACCCTTGAGCCTTCGGGGAGGCGGTAATCGCCTGCTGTCTGGCCCGAGCTCACCTTTTCTTCCCCGGTTACATACATAGTCGGTGGGAGGAGGACGACTGTAAACCATGTTACATTTGGGAGGCAACAAGGCCGCTACACCAGTTGTTTGAAATCACTTAAAGATACCACGGAATTGACGAGGAAATCAGTTTCTTCGTGTTAGAGGGAAACTAGCTATTGGCCAGGTCTGTCTCCCCCAGCCCCCTCTCCCATTACTCTAACTAATGTGAAATTTTCTTCCAGTGACTGTTGAGATCTGAGCATGAAAAGGTTCTTTCTTCACATTACTAAAATACGTTGCTTTCTCCCAAGAGCAGGGTGTTTCCCCACATTTTGCATTTCATTAAGACATCTCTGCGGAGACCTTTATCATATGTTTCCTTTAGTTCCACAGTAGGAAGCAGGGTAAATATAGAGTGCAGGGTTTGTGGTCAAGTGTAAGTGGTAGAAGTGTATTTGACTTGGGCAAGTCCCTGCCCCCCCTTAGTCTCAGTTTCCTCCTCTGTAAAATGAGGTTGGCCCTGGGGGCCTCTGAGGGCTCTTCCAGTTCTAGATCTGTGGATTTGAATCCAGCTGCTTTATCCTGTCTCCCTTGTCACTATACATACCCGAAAAAGTCATTCTTTTGGGTCATGTTTCTCTCCTAAACTCTATCCAGTCTCTCATCATAGATATCCCAAAGTCAATGTGTACAAAGTAAAACTCTTCCCATGTAAAAGAGTATTTACAGAGAAAGAACTCTTCCCTCTGCCTCTCCTCCAAATTTCCTGTTTTGGGAGGCATCTCCCAACATGGAGCTTGTTGCTAAGTCTTGACAATTCCACTTTCATATATCTTAAATTCATCTCCGTCTCCCTAGTTGTATGTCCAGTATCCTACTTTGTACTTTCATCACCTCTCCTGTGGATCACTGCAATCCTAAAAGGTTTCCTGTTTCCAGTGTAGATTCATGGTCCACACAGTTGCCAAAATAATCTTCCTGAAACCTAAGTGACTGTGGCATTCCCCTATTCAGGAATCTTCATTGGCTCCCTAGGATACAGATGCTTCACAATGGGGCTCCTTCCACCCCTTCCAGATCTTTCCAGTACCTCCCTTCATACACCCTATGTTCCAAACAAATGGATCTGCTGGATATTTCTTGAACTCATCATTCTGTTTCCTGGAAGATTCTCTTTCCTTCCCTGCTCCAATCCCTAGCTCTCTTCAAGATTCAACACTGGTGCCACCTGTCCTTAAGGTCTTTCCTGTTCCCCTAGTTTTAAATTGCCTTCCTGTTCTTTCCTTCCTCAAATGATCTGGTCTATGTTACATATGTATGTACATGTATATGTATGTATGTGTATGTGTATATATACATGTTATGTATGTGGCCCATTAGTGGATGAAGAACTGGCTTTGGAATGAGAATAACCTGGGTTTGAGTCTTCCCTCTGACCTTCTTGGTCTGAGGCAGGGAGCAACTTTAGTTTACGCTTTAGTGTAAGTTAAACAGAACATGCTGCCCTACATTGGAGGAGGGAGTTTTCTCCTCTGGGAGTTTCTCATGCCAGTGAAATCACAGGTTCAGCCCCTACCAGGAGGTAGATACAGGCATGCACATAAATAACAGATTCCTTGAGGACAGATACTGGTTTTTGTATTTGTCTTCATGTCCCCAATGTCTGCATAGTGCCTTACATGAAGATGATCAATGCTTTCTGAAATTGACTTAAGATAAAAAAATTCCTTACTCATTTCATTCATTAGTTACCTGGACCACGACTTTCAAAGGGCTAAGAACTGAGTCAATACCCACAGTACTAATAACGGGTGTTTCGTGCGGCTTGTCTGTAATTCATAAAGAAAAGCTATGAAATGATTGGTGAAATTTGAACTTTTTTTCCCCCTTTTTACATGTCAGGGCACAGTACCCAAACTCAAGGAACTCAGAACATCTCGGAAGCAAAGAAGTGGAGCGATTATATAAGTTCCAATTATTGGGGTGGCTGGGCAAAACAATAAAAGAATTAATATATTCTCAGAAATTTGCCAAAGTATGCTATTGTCTCAAAGTCGGATGGAAAAATTAAATGGTATGAAAACACAATTTTGTGGGAAATGTTCATTTTACTGCTAATAAGTGAAGTCTCTTAGAGAATCATGGTGCTGCAGACTGTACTGGCAGTGCACAGAGGTCCTACAATTAATTCACTGGCCTCATCCCCATATGTAAGACAAAGCAGGAAAAAGCCAATTGACTGACTAGCTATACCAGCCAAAGATTTTTTACCTAATCGAAACATATTCCCACTAGGCAGTGCTCCTGTTATGGGAACAGAATTTTCTCCTACACACATCTTTTGCTCTACTTCTTTTGTATATGGATATGCCAACCCCCTAATCTGGAATGTTTTCTTTCCTTCCTCTCCCAATCAATCTCCTTCAAAACTCACCTATTCAGGAAGCTTTCCCTGATTAATTCCACCTACCACTTATTAAACCATTACTCTGTTCCTTCAGTTTTGAATAATGCAGTTTGCACTCTATTAATTTATATTTGTCTGATGTTGCCTTAAAAATGTTCATGGAAACTTGGGGTGGGTGTGCTTTCTCCTCGACTACTTTTCCTCGCCATTTTCTGTTTCTCTTCTGTCATGGAATCTGCAGAGTTGGAAGGGCCTTCAAAGACCATTTTATTCAACTCATTTCCAAACAAGATATTTTCTCCACAATATACTCAACAGGTGGTCACCCAGCCTTGGCTTGAAGGCTTCCAGTGAAGTGAAATCCACTACCTCCCAAAGCAGCCATTTAAATTTTCAACAGCTCCAACTGTTAGGAAGTTTTATCATATCATTTTACCTTACCTCAAGGCCTAAACCTGTTACCCTGTGATGTGACTACCGCTCATTGTTCCTTGTTGTTCAGTTGCGTCCGACTCTTCGTGACCCCATTTGGAGTTTTCTAGGCAAAAATACTGGAGTGATTTGCCATTAGCTTCTCCAGCCCATTTTACAGATAAGGAAACTGAGGCAAACAGGATCAAGGAATTTGCTCAGGGTCACACAGCTAATGAGTGTCTGAGGCTAGATTTGAACTCAGAAAGATGAGTCTTTCTGACTCTAGGCCCAGCCCTCTAGCCGCAGCATCACCTGGCTACCCCATCATTCTCAGTCCTACCCTCTTGAGCCAAGTAGAACAGATCTGCTTCAATAATTAGATTATAGACTTAGAGCTTGAAGAGACCTTAGAGGCCCACAAATCCAACCTCTATTTTAGAGATGAGGAAACTGAGGTAGTGGTTAAGTGACTTTCCCAAAGTCACACAGCTAGTGTCTAAGGTGAATGGGAACCCAGGTTTTCCTGTCTTCTCTGTGTTCAACATCCCTCAGTCATTCAGCTGATTCCCCTATCATATGAGACCCTTTACCATCTTAATTGCCCTTTGGATACCTTCCCTCTTAGCAATATGGTGCCCTGTACTGAGGACAATAATCCATATAGGGTCTGAGCAGGGAAGTATCGTGGGAGACTTTAGTTTCCTCCTGCCCGTGCTCTGCATCTCTCAAAGCAACCTAAGGTAACAATAAGCTTTTTGGCTGCAATATCACAATGCTGACATATTAAGCTTTCAGTCCACTAAAAACCCCCAGATTTTTTCCAGATAACATACTGTTTAATCTTATCTTCTCCAGCTTGTTCTTTGTGAAGTTGATTTTTAAAGCTGTGTAAGATTACATTTGTTACTCCTAAATTTTATTATATTTGATATGACCCAGTGTTTTAGCCTATCAAGATCTTTTCAGATACTAATTTTATCATCCCATACTTCAGATGTAGAAGGTGTATACCATGTGATTGAATGTGTAATGAGCCCAGGGCAGGTTCAGAGCTTGCTTTCTTCAAAAAGTCTCGAACATCAGCTGTCTTTCTGGTCATTTGCCTCTCACTCATAAAGCTGAATTGACGTATGTGCAACTATTGATCTCCAGAGC